AGCCGTGGACAGAACCGGTGCCTTGAGCTAAAAAAAGAAACAAATAGGGTTTTACCTTTCAATGTAACAATGAATAGTACAGTAAATACAAAGCTTAATGGATAATACATGAGGAACGTAAGTAAAGCCAAAACAGGAAAAACTGACCTATATTTTTTATAAGAGGCTTCCATTCTCTGCTGAAAACTAGGGGTGGCACTTTAACTTTAATTGATACATATAGAGTTATTTTTATAAAGTATCTTAAATCTTTACAGAACTTTAACTTACAAATTGCAAAGTAAAGCTTCTCAAAAATGTTGGCAGTTCATAGATTTCGTAAGTTTACGTCGTGTAATTCTGTTCTTAACTATATTTAACTGAAAAAATACGGTATAAACTGTAATATCAGCTGTAGTGCTGATTGTCAACACTATTATTAATTTTCTTCCCGGCAACCGTTCTTGTTTCTCTATGAAAACCTTACAGACGTGTTGCAGAAAGCAATTCTGCATTAACCCGCTAGAAGCAAATCGTTGTAATCATCCAACAACATGATTCCATAAGGCCACCCTGTATAGTGATTATAACCCTTACGTATCAAATATCAAATTTCAATTTTTGTTTCGAGTTAACCTTTAAGACTAACATTAGATCTTTGTGTAATTTTATTATTTTCCTTTCTATTGTTTGCTATCAATTGTTCTTTTTATTATTATTTTGTTGTTGTATTTACTATCTCTTGTATGTTGTTGTTATGTATAGCCTGTAGATGTCTTCTTGTCCTGTCCTCTGCTCTCGATCGATTATGTAAAGATATGATGGGTTCGCCTCCTTCTATGCATTATTGTATTGATTTCTTCTGCTTTTCTTCTAATAAACTTTATCACAACCTTTTAGAATTATTTAAAAACTAACTTTTCAATTATTTTCGACAATGCTGCGTCGTTTGATCAAACTTTCGACTTTATTCCAGCAAAAAAAATACGATCAAAAATCATTTTGGAAAATCTATAAAGGTGCACTTCGACCATTATTTCAAATTTTTTTCATAGTATAACTCTTTTCGTTCTAAAAACTAACTTTACAGAAGTGTGCCGTGGGAAATTGTACGTCGAACTAGTCAGAAGAGCACCATTGATTAGAATGATTATTTTCTATCTACTTCGATGCAGAAATGCTTTCCGCACACTTCTATAAGGTTTTCGTAGGGAAAAAAGTGCTGGCCCAGGAAGAAAATTAACATTAAAGTTGAAAACCAATTTTAAAGCCGATATCAAAGCCTCTGCCCTATTTTTTGAGTTAAGTATAGTTAAGAACAGAACTAGACGACATAGACTTACGAAATCTATAGACTAGAAACATTTTTGAAAAACTTTAACTTTACAAAGTAAGTCTGCGATTCTGTGACTAGGGGTGTCATATTCCACTTACTATTACTAGTAAGCGGTAACCACTTACCATTTACCTGACGACTGGTAAGTGGTAAAGATTACCATGCAATAATAAATAATTAATGATTAAAATCATCATTTATTGCTGGTATATAGTTGAGTTTTCAATGACCAAAACACTTACCACTTACCTGGTAAGTGGAAGCGGTGGTAAGTCGTAAGTGTGACACCGCCAGCTGGGACTTTGCCATGGCTATTTCCGCCCCATTTTCATGTACATTCACGTGCTTTTATTGTAGATCTTTATTAGTTTTTTGCAATGCACCGGGACCATAATAAAAATCTCAGATCTCATTATACTTTAGATTACTATACTCAGTCCCGAAAGGAATAAATGGGAAGCTAGATAGAGTCAGAACTGATATTTGACGCAGGTTCATTCCGAGACTGCCATTACTTCTATCTATCTATCTGTCAGATAATTAATCGCGATTGGAAAGTAGGCAGTTATCTATCATAGCAGAGTCTTAATCTCTTCTTCATTATCGTATTCGTCATGCGCAAGAATAAACTGCTTCTACCTTGTGAAAAAGTCTCTATTGATGTTTCCAATAATGAAGTTTTCGAAATTCCACCATTCGCCCCGAACACTTCCAATTTTTCTGTTGTAGATCTTTCTCTAGATCAATTCTTGTAAGCTAGTTTTGAGTCCGCTCAACAAACGCGAAGACATTTTCTATTAAGATCATTCCCATTTTCTTAATATTTCAATGCAGTCTTTTTTTTTCTGGATGCTCATTCTGCAGTCATAAGTAAATCGTCATCAATTATTTCTGATTGGACATGGGGATCATAATCGTTTTTCTAGCGTGTAATCAAGTCAATGCCAGAGGATCGAAATTAGAAAAATGTCGTAAACGGATAAAATACGGTAAGTTTACGACAGTTTATGGTAAGAATACGTTGTAGAACAGTGCACTGTATTTTGTCCGTAACGTTTCGGAAAACGGCCAAATACGGCCCATCTACGATGCGGATTCAATACGGTGCGTATTTCTGCGTCAGATCATACGAGTAGATGCGGGCCACAAAGTGTCCGTATTTATACCGTATACTACCGTAAAGGCTCCGTTACTTCACCATTTACAGTCCGTTTTCGGGTCGTAAACGATTCCGTTTTGTTCGACCTGGAAGAAGCCACTAGGATCTACCATGATCCACAGGATCCGAAGATTCATGATCCGCTTTTCCCCTCTTGATTGGTGAAAACACATGGAGAGCCCTTTTGTATTTAGAAAAAAATGGTTTCAATTTCAGAACTTGTATCTTTTGATAGTCATTTTTTCTATCTGATATCACTTAATCGATATAAATAGATAGAATCATTCGCTGTGAGTTTGAAAATACATATGTACGCAATAGTGAAATAGGTATTTATAAGTTTCCTCATTCAGACGGTAGAAGTTTGATTCATTGAACGTGGTTACATTCATTTCTTATTAATTACTAAGCACTGTTATTCATAGAATATCTACACTTTTTCTTCGCTAGATCTTAACTCTTTTAATTTAGTTATTATTGTCCTATTATATCGAATGAAAATAACTATTTTGACTTACTAAGTGTTATTTTCTTGACAGGTGTGGATAGTTTTGGTGTTACATATGATTTTGCCATCGCTGCTGCTAATCCTGTTTGATCATCATCACGATCATCATCATCGTCGTCAACAATTTCTTCCAAAACTACTAAATGCAAATTATTATGAGCAAAACCAACATTTTTGACTCGTAATTCAGTTCCAACTCCCAAAATAACTTCATTTTCATTGGGAAACATTGTGTAACCACCCAGATCTCTTCCGTTTATAGCTTCTATCATGAAGAGTGTTGCCTCTTGATTGGGCTTGAGAAAAGCTTTGACAACGTCAGCCGATGTTGAACATGAACTAATAGTCCACCAAATTAATACTTGATTTGGTTTATATTCACTGGCTACATTTCCAGGTACAGCTCGCCAAATGTTGCCTTTCCGTTTTGGTAATTTTTTGAGCGCCGTATCAAACAATTTCAAATAGCTAAACCATGGTATTGCTTCTTTTCGATTTTCTTTTCTTAATACTTGATTTAAAACACGATAGAAACTGTGATCACCAGCTTCCATCGTGTATAAAAGCACAGCCGCTGATTCATCCCGCGTGAGATTATCCGGTGACGGCTGCTTGCAATGTTTCTTGGCTTCTTTGATAGAGCGTTTTAGTTCGTTGATTTGAGGCAAGACATCCTTTAAGGCCTCTTCAAGTGACACGAGTGCATAAGCCCAGTAACCAGCAATAGGTTGTAGATCTTTGTTTTCAGGTTGAAAATCTGTAAACCGATTCATTTTTTTGTCCGTACGTAAATCTACAATGAATACATACTTAGTTCTACAAGCATATTCTCCACATTTTTTATTGAATTCTCATGTCAGTTTTCTGAGTGAGTAGATAATAATTATAAGGAAAGATTCACACTCGCCCTAATCCATGAGTAGCTGTGACCAATTATTCATAGAGCACTCGTTCTCATCATTGTCGATTAAGGAAAAAAACTGCGCAGATATTACTTAAATCTAAAAGTTTTGTTCTTGCAAAAAAGTTTTCTTTTTCTCTGAAGAGTTTTAAAATAGTAAAGCTCTTAACGATTTTTTTTACATATTTAAAAAAATGATCACTTATACAATTTTAAACTTGTTCTAGTTTCCTGATACACATAAATTGATAATATCGTTTGTCAATTTTTCTACCTCTTAGTAAATTAATTGTTTTGACTATTCCTGCTAAATAAATATCCAGCCATTGTAACAAGGAAGAAAAAACGGATTTGGTAAATTCCTGACACCAAGAGAAGCCAGGGGATACATATCATACATTGCAAATACTAGTGATACGAGTTGGTACAATAGAGAAAATGCAAAGTGTATAATATATATGTCGTGCCGAAGTTACACTGTTTGTCAAAGTTATAACTTCGAGGTAAATGTTTCACGAAGTTACAACTTCGACAATAAATTTTAACGAAGTTATTTTAGATCAACTGAATTTCAAATGATTATCAACTAATTGATGATATTAAAGTCGAAATTAATATTTTTACTCAATTTTTCAAATGAAAAACATGTAAATGATTTTAGCAATAAAATAAGAGAAACTACTCAGAAATAAAAAATTGAATTTTATTATTACCATGCATGACTGTAGATTTTTTGGACAACCTTAAGTTTATAGGATAATGGATATATGTATAGAGCACTAAGTCTTGATTTATACATCACTTTGGCATATAATCAGAACAGTTCCAACCAATTATTTCATTCCTAGAGCTTTGCGACAGTTGCTCACCAAGACATTTTTTCATGAATGTGGATGTTGGTGCTGGTATTCAAGTGATTGGAAACATTCAATACGCCCACATTCACTCAGATCCACACTTCAACTAAGTCAGACTCATGCCTTCATCCTCACCTGCTCTCGCGAGCAAGTGTCCGTCTCCCCATTCCTAGATGTCGGATCTTTCTATAATCTCAGTGTTTCTTTTGACATATAATATTAAGATTAATAATGAAGATGAGGCGGAGACATAGCTAAAGATAGAAGTAAAAATAAAATCAAGGTCAAGAACTAGCACAGGAGCAGAATAGTTCCCTGGTCTCGAGGTGCTAGGAAGTAGTAAATATGAAAAATCCAGTCAGGTCGAGTCTTTGTTCGACTCAATGTGAGTTTGGGTCAAATATAGCATTTAAACTACCTGTGTATGCGTTTTTTTTCTGCTATTAATAATGATAAAGTTAAAATTCTACTAATGTTAGATTGTAGTGTTCTGGAGTTCTGTGCATTTGTTATGAGCTTAGGATTAGCTGAATAAATCCATAGTTATGCATAATAACAATAAAATTCAATTTTTTATTTCTGAGTAGTTTCTCTTATTCTATTGCTAAAAATCATTTACATGTTTTTCATTTGAAAAATTGAGTAAAAATATTAATTTCGACTTTAATATCATCAATTAGTTGATAATCATTTGAAATTCAGTTGATCTAAAATAACTTCGTTAAAATTTATTGTCGAAGTTGTAACTTCGTGAAACATTTACCTCGAAGTTATAACTTCGTCAATTTTGTCTGCCGAAGTTATAACTTTAACAAACAGTGTGACTTCGGCACGCCATATATATACGATGCAAAAATAGCGGATCTGTATTGATAAAGAATTATTGAACAAAAAGCAATCTTGAACTTTTCCCCATTTATTTTAATACTCCACACCATTCTTTTACGAGATGTAATAGATTTAAACAAAAACCCAACAGATTTAATAAGGTACCCAGTGAAAAATTTTCGCGATTTTCAATCGGATTTTTCTGCAACAAAATCAAAATTATAATCGATTGATAATTTTGATTATTTTTGATCACGACTGATCCATTATTTGGCATTGTTGCTTAATTAGTGCGAAATTTTCTAATTGAAATCGGATTACTTTGCAGCATAATCGAAATTATTAATCGATTGGTAATCCTGGATTTGCTACAGAACTATCCGATTTTAATCGGATAATTCCACACTGAATAAGTAACAATATCAAGTAATAGTTAAGTCGTGATCAACAATAATCAAAATTATCAATCGATTATAATTTTGATTTTGTTGCAGAGAAATCCGATTGAAAATCGCGAAAATTTTTCACTGGGTAGGCTCTAAGAACCGTAATCGTTAAATGCGTTGAGTCCCAGAAGAATATTTATTGGAATGAATTGATATACTAGTTGGACAACATAAACCCCAAGTTAAACTTTTTTTACTACAACTTGTTAGACTTAGCTTACTTTAAAATATGGCGTGTCGTAAGGAATGTTAATGATTTGGATCCAAACTATTCGAACAAACTTGATTTATTCGGCTCGTATTTAATTTTTAGTCAGATCATCAATACCCAAAATTCAGACATTCTATGAGACGCTTTGATGATTCTTTTTGAGCAAAAATACATCCGTATAACATGGAAATGTTCAATGTTTATACATCTAGAGCTAATGCGCTTTCCATGTGAAAATTTAAGCAAAAAAGTTCGCTTACAGTGGTATCTTCAAGCGCTTTAAAGCACTTGATTTCAATGAAGGGACATTTGTAGATGATTCTCTCCGACTGCCATCATAATGTGCCTGCTTGCATAGTACCTCTACGACGTCATAACCCTCAAAAGACTCTGTCTTCTCCATATCTTATTCAGATAATGGTTTCTCACCGAACTCCTAAACTACCAGCTTTTGAAAAGAAACGTATTTTTGAACTTCGTCTTGCAATTTTGTATACGTGAAGGTCTTAATGAGGTTATTTCCTATATAAAATTTCATTAATTTTGAATATTGCGATGTCAGAATATGAATTTCTCAAAAGACATACCTTTTCAAGTGTTCTGAAAAATATAGAAATTCATTTTGAAAAATTCACGCCCTGACATCGCAATATTCAAAATTAGTGAAATTTTGTATAGAAAATAGTCTCATTAAGACCTTCACATATACAAAATTGCACGATTAAGTTCAAAAATACGTTTCTTTTCAAAAGCTATTAGTACAGGAGTTGGGTGAGAAATCATTATCTGAATTGAATGTGGACAAGACCCAGTCAGATAAACAACGAAAATAAAGTCGCAAATATGAACAGTTTTGCGATTTCGATTTCTCTCAAGAAGTTTAACGCGTTTTTATACGTTTGACTTCTGAACTGATTAAATTGTTAGAGAAAATAGCTCTATCCATAGACTTAGTTTGCATAAAAAATAGTTCCGACGGGTTCTTAGTTATTACAATTTTTTATTTTCGTGTAACAATCACTTATGACCTTTAATTTTCTACAGTAAGAATCACTATCAAATAGAAATTCTTACCGTAGAAAATCAAAGTCATAAGTCATTGTTACAAGGCGATAAAAATTGTAATAACTAAGAACTCGTCTGAACTATTTTTATACAAACTAAGTCTATGGATAGAGTTATTTTCTCTAACAATTTACTCGATTAAGAAATAAAAAAGCCCAGTAACAAGCGAAACTGTACGATAAAAACTATTCTAACTACAAAAATCTTATCTGATCACAAGACATTGCGTGAAAGTAATATATATAAAAATGACCGATAAGCTTCCAGTTTATTTTGACTATCTTTGAACATTTCGAATATTCTAAACTAAACAAACATTGAGGATACATTGTGAAGACTACATCTGAGCAAATATTCACATTTGATTCACTAAACTACTTTCATCAATAATAGGTGCATTATTGGAAAATATTTATTAAATATTAAAATAATTTAACATTTGTATTTTATATAGTCGAATGGTAAACTCAATTTGAACGTGAGTTTTTATCTAGAGAAGATAAAAGATGTGATGTAAAAGAATAAAAACATGATCTGATAAAATTATTTTAAGATGATTCTCAATAAAGCACTTTCTTATTAATGATGGCAGATGATTTTGATAGATTTTGGATAATAATATAGATGTTACTTTTTAAATATATATTCTCATTCGTTGTCCAACTTTAGACACCAGAAAAATATAAAAAATTGAAATGGATTGGAAACTTATAAAGCACCATATATATCATCAAAACTTATGAAATAATACCTAACTAATATTATTTGCTTCTTCTTTTTCTACTACTGACCTAAACAGAAAAATTAAAGAATGAAAATTCTATTTTGTTCAAGACAATAAATAGAAAGATGAAAGACTGACATGACTGATAAAGCTCGATCGCTTATATATATATCTATGACGAATTTTTCATTATACGTTTTATTAGTATACAGCGCACTTTTTTGCTGCAGAACTCTGCTTCTATCCGTTTATCCTACCCTTACTTCTATAGTCTCATATCTGTAGCCTTATCACTATATCTTTACGCCTAGAGCCTTGTGCCTATATCCTTGCTATAACACCCTTATACCTATGTCCTTACCTCTATACTCATATAGCTATAGCCTTATCTCTATAGTCTTACAAATAAATCCCTATATATATATGCTCTAACCCCTAGACTGTTATACCTATCGTCTTAACTCTATATCCTTATACATATATGCTTACCCTTGTACACTTTTATCTAAATATCCATCCGTTTACACTTTTTTACCTATACACCCTGATATTTATAGCGTATACTTATACGAGTATTAATATTCAATAATTCATAGCCATGATCTTTTCGATAATAATCGTCACCATCTTTATATACTTGAAATATATCATATTCATCTTTTTTATTACTTTAAATTCAATAATATCACCACATTCTATATGTGCTGGCGGTTCTTCAGTAAATGGATCATTAACTACGTCTATGACATGAATCATTTTTGGTTGTTCATCACCTTCAATATTATCATTTGGCATATGACCTTGTAATTAAGTCATACAAGTGTGCACTAAACAATGAAGTGTGTTATTTGTATTTTATATAGACTTATTTAAATTTTCAATCACAAACTCATGGTCCAATTTTGTTGACGATAGTAGGATCTCGCTGTATTGAATAAGATATTAATCATGATTTCATCGAGTTGTTCTTTAGTTATCAAATTAGAAGATTGATGTTCCGAATAAATAAGATTTGCTTCGTTGAAATATTTGAATACTAAAGAAAAATTGTTCTGTCTTGAGCAAATGATGATTAAATTATTGATTAATTGAAGACGTTCGAAAATATCCGTTGGTGAAATTCGTTGAAATTCTTCATTGAATTGTCGGATGAGATCATCTTGATTCGTAAAATGATCGAGAGAAATTTTTCCAAATGTGAATGATTTGGCACATTCCCTATTTCTCAATTGATCCAATCGTGCTAAATAGGTTTCTAATTCAAAAGTACGAGTACGTGTAGCCCAAATCTTTGCTTGTTCGATCGCTTTCTTCACATATTCCAGAGCTTTGACTATATCTTCTTCTTGTTCATAGATCAACGAAAAAAAATTATAGATAGCGGCCATCATTTTTTGATGCTCGACGGAACAAGCTAAGAGATTATTTAGTGCTTTGTCGGCCATTTTTAACGCTTTTCTCGTGTTGTCTAATTGATATTGAACAAGTCCAAGATTATATTGAAAAGTCGAGACCATAGAAAGATTCTCTTTGGCTTGTGAACGTAACATTATTCTTAAGGCTTTTTCTGCATGATATAAAGCGTCTGATAAAGCTCGTAATTCTAATTGAACAATGGCGATCTGATGGTGTGACATAGCTAACGATTCATGATCGTCATGGAATATTTGACTATCGATTTCTAAGGCTTTCGTGTGCATTTCTAATGCTTTTGTAAAATCTTTTTTTTTCAAATATATCCCTCCTAGATTATGATAGATAGCAGTTAGATCGGTGTGTGTCGCCACGGTACCTTTCAGACGTATTTCGAAGGCATGTGTCAAATAGTGTAAAGCATTATCATAAGCATCTAAATGAAAATAGATTTCGCCAATATTATTATACGCCATGGCTAATTCCGGATGATATTTGTTGCATTTTAAAACATTTTCTTTGATATCCAGAGCTTTTAAAAAATAATCCAATGCTAATCGATTATCACCTTTATTTCGGTAGGTGATGGCAATTTCATTATAAGTAAATGATAATGATGTGGTCGGTGATTGCAAATCGACTGCCATTAATAAGTATTTCAATGCTAAATCAAATTATTCAAGATGACGATAAGCAGCATCAAGATGAGCATAGGTATTAGCAATGTGATGTTGATTACTTTGAATCAATGAATCTTGAGTCCAAAATTTTAATGCTCGTTTTTGAAATTCAAATGCTTTCTGATAATCTCCTCAATTGACATAAATAATGCCCAGAAAATTTTGTATAAGACCAAACGATGGATTCGATTCTGGTGTGTGTTCCAGTAACATTTGAAAATATCTTTCTGCTCGATCATAATCACTCATACCGATTAAAGCAGAACCTAAATCACAGAGATTCCCATAATGTGAATATTCCCGATCTAATTCGTTCGCTGCGAAGTTCATTCAAATCATCGTCATTTTCGACCATCATTATTTTAACCAGGCAATGATCATCGGTTGCTCGTCGATCATCGACATTGAGAATGCGAAAAAATGCACCAACCGAGAAAATAATATTTCTTCTTCTTCGGGAAATTGGCTCAAATGTTCAATAGAAGCAAATGGTCGTTTCGTCGCATGATGAGTTAGATGAACTTCAATTTCAAATATAACTGACAAGAATTCTGAATCTGTCGTAGTTGAACCTGAGTAGATCTTTGCCATATCGGAGTTTTTTGAGCTAGAAAAAAATGCATTGATCGATATTAAACATCCAATATTGCCCTTGATTTGATCGAATTCTACCATTCTCATAGATTGTCCTCGATACGCCATAAGTTTGTCATTTGGATATCTTGAATTATTTAAAAATTGTTTTGAATAAAAGTTTTGTAATTAATTATAAATATCGATGAGGAAAAAATGAAAGATGAACATTAAATCAATATTTTCTGTTCGAAATGCTTGATTAAATAAACGATAAATAAATGAATCACCTGTATAAAACTTGAGAGCTTCACTCGATTGGTAAATCTTACTAAATTCATCTATCTTTCTTAGTAAAATGACATTGTCTTTATAATATGTTCGACATTCATCTAACATTTCCTCTTTTGCTTGCTCATAACAAGATGTTCGAATAAGAATATCGATTAATAATTGTAACCAGAGAAATCGAGCACTTTCTTTATTTAAATCTCGTACGGTTTTCTCCTTTTGTTCTCGATGAAAGCTACTGATCGGTAATGATGATGTCTCTTTCAATCGTTTATAATCATGAGACAATTGAATTGCTAAACTTTCGAGATCAGAATATTGACCACACCATTTTGTGTTTGAATCGTCTAAAGTAATCGCCAATCGTTGCTCACGATCGAATACATAAATTGCCAAAATATTCGATAGATGAGCGACTTTTTTGAATAGCGTTTCTATCTGGGAATGTGATGAAACGAGAAAAATCTTATTGTTAGCATAGGATGCTTTGATCATCTCGATACAATGTTGAATATCAAAAGAGAAATCCAAACGTGGAATAATCTTCGTGATCAATGTTGTATTTAAAGTGTCACTATCATTGTTGTCTGCTATCCAAAGAACTAAATATTCTTCGATAATTAATGGTTCTTGAATCAATAGTTTGGTTTTTCGTTTTATCGGATGATTTACATGACTAGATAACAAACCTTGTCGAAACATCTCGATATCTTCCAATAATTGCCAATCTGCATCGGGTAAATTTTGATTAATAATGGCTCGTAATTTGGGATAAAGAGTACTCGAATAAGAGACATTCTCTGGCAAATTCGAATAAATATAAATATAAAGAATTTGTGGTAGATCATGAATGACCGGTATTAAGTAACTGAATCCATCCGTCAAGGAAATAAAAACTTTTCACCATGAGAATAAAATAATAAAATCAATACATTGATTCGGATCTCCGAATAGTTTATGGTTTTCTTTAACAAGAATTCGTTGATCTTTCGTGTGCATTTCTTGATGAAGTGTAAAATTATCTCCAACATAAAACTGTTTGTCTAAGTGGATTTCAATAAATTTTCCATGACTATCATCGAATTCGAGAAGTTTATCATTCGGCAAAGCAATTGACGAATAGTCAGTCATATTGAAAGCGAACAGATCTAACAAAGGAAATGCATGTAGACGTACACTGAAATGGTCAATTTCGAATTTGGGATTTTGAAAAGTCAGTCATTTTCATGAATTCCAAAAAAGAACAATATGCACCACTATGGAATTCTATTAGAATTTTCTTCAAAAGAACGAAAAAGTGTCCAGGAACACAAAGTAGTAGTATATCTGTCACCATAACATGTTGATAATATTAGGAGTATGGGAGTACTAGAAGTAGATGAATCATGAACACTTCAGTGATGTCAAATCTGAAACTTGCGCCAGTATTCCACTAGCGTCTCATGGCGATACACTGGTACAAGGGACACACACACCTTCTATTTCTGTCGCGGGATATGATAACCCGAACAGCGTCGCGTTATCATGTTTCTGTTGACACAGGTTTTTACTGATACTTGAACACTTGAATTCCTGTTCCAATTTTGACACTACTGGAGTCTTCATGACTCATCTACTCCCACACTCTCAGATTAATACGGGATAAGTAGTGTTCGGAGTACTGGGAAGGTGCATGATTCATCTACTGCCAATAGATAGTCACCTTTATTTCTATTGTAGTATATGCGAGTGTCATTGTCAGATGTAAACTACTATCGTGTGGTTCCAGAGAAATGTTCGATTTTTTCGACGGAAACTCTGATAGAGTCCGAAAGGCGTATCAACTCAAAACGAATCTGTCTTTCATCATTGGTTGTCATTCAAGAGATCAGAGGTCGATCACAAATGTCACTAGTGTGCGATCTGAGTAGAATATAGAGATGGACTTCGCCATTTCTGGAGAATTCGACGACAATCTCTGCCAAAGTGAAAACGTGAGGATGATAGGATGTATTGAATCTATAAGGTTTAAATAGGCCTGATACTATGCCGAGTTATAGAACCTACAATCTGCATCAGAGTACTACGGAATATTGACCAGAAGATGCCCTAGGTTTTAGAACAACAAGACTGAAATGAGAAGTAATAGTTTGAATGGGTATCTAGGCATTTTTTCAAACGGATTTTAGCCTTCTGGTTCAAGTCAATCGAAGATAGTTGTATTCGAACACTACAAACCATTCATTATTTTGAGGTCGTTTTCAAGAAGCATCACCATAAATGCTGAAGTCAGCATTGAAAGTTCTCCATAACTACTAACATAGTACAATTTTTCCTGCTTATACAAAGAATAAAAACTACATCGTTGGAATTAGTGAGAGGTACTCCTTATCTGGATGCAGTATAATCAAGTCCTTAATGAAAATTTCAGAAAATAGAATCTTTGAGTCTTGAATGATCTGTTGTTTTTCTATTTCCTCGTTTAATCTTCTTCGTCATCTTCTCTTCATATACAGATGCCAATGATCATTTATTATAATATTGCACAAGTGAAAAATAAATCGTACCTTAGAAAATGTATTCGTGAAATGACAGCGAGAAGATCAATGAACGAGTGAAATAAAAAATTCAACTTTTATTCTTCGGTGCACACGGGTGTTTTTTCTCTTGCTTTTTATAAGCATCGTGTTTTTTCTTCAATCCAGACAAACAAATTACTTTTTCGTTTTTTATGTATTCTCTCTTTTTCTCGATTTTTTCTTAGTCATCAGCAAGACAATCAATCGATTTAAGAAAAAGAAACCTGCTCGATTCTGAGAGCAGAAATTGACATTCAAGGTTGTTCTTATTCATCATTCGGTCGACATGAAAAACAACTGAAAACTGTCCTGAATGCACTTTTGATGAATATCAACATTAAACTTTTTGTTCCATCGGACAAGACGGCACAGAAGAATCCAACCTCACGAGACTCTTCCATCTAGCATATTCTGTTTCAAACACGAAAAACAGTAACATTGTTCCTCCAATAGTTTCTCCTTGAAAACGAACTTACAGTACGAAAACGTTTGCAATCAACAACAAAGTATGATGCGCAACAACACAATTCTATTATTCACTTGAAATGTGACTATGCAAACAGTCACTCAATCTCATCGAATATTTCGTCTTTGTTTTATTTCACAATAGCAGATATTTTGAAAAAAAAAGAAGAGTGTGGGTGGGGTGGGTATGAGTATGAATGTTGATGTGGATGTGGGTGTGGGTGTTTTCTGTCAAGTACACCCACATCCACAACCATGCGCACACCCTACCCACACCCACACTGTATAGTTCTAATACAAATATTGACCAGATTCGAAATGTACGGTGAAGATAACGCTCCAATGCGATGATTACATGAGTCAATCGTATTCGTATCTTAGAACGAAAAAACTTTCAGCGTAATTACTGTGGAATTAAAATGTGAAACACGATAGGTTCGTTCCACTTGTTAAACAGAACCCTTTTTAAGCTTTTTTTTTCAGTTGCTTTGGTACCTGATGATGATTTTCAGCTTTTTCTGGGTGTGGGTGTTGGTATGTGTTGTTTTCAGTCACACCCACAGCTACACTCACCCACACCCACACTCCCACCCCCACCCACCCCCACCCACACCCACCCACACCCACACCCACACCCACACCAACCCCACACCCACACACGCATTGATATTATGTACGTATAATAACGAAAGACGACATAGACTTCTTGGTGAGAAACAGGTATTCTCTCTTAACTTAGCAAAATAGTTTCAAAAAAAGTTTTTTTCGGGTTAAATCTTCTTCACGGCTGAGTTAAGAGGAACTCCATTATAAATAAGATAGTTCAGAAATTTGAAAACTTAGTGACTTTCTTTTAATTAAATTGTGAATTCTCTTTTATTGTTAAGATATATTTATAACAAATGTCATCTAAAATAAAGTGAACATTTGAATAAGCAATACGATAATGTAAGATAAAATATGTTTGTATACTAGTTATCACTGTTTAAAAACGATGAAGCGCAATTATCTTTATATAATTAATTATAGAACCCATATAAAACTTCACAAATATAAAATCTTTACCAAAGCTTAGTAACAATCCACTAACGTCTTTGAAGATCTATCTCTTTAAAGAAAAAGGTTGTTGATTAAATATTTAATCATCTGTACGATCCATTATCTATAAACAGCTGTAACAACAGCTGACTTACATAGGAGAAAAAGAGAAAGTGGCATTAAATTTTATTTTTTTAATTATTTTCAAGTTCAAAAAAACGAAGTCCTCCGTAAATCATCATTTTTTCACACCATTTACACGCGAACTAGATCACCTACAGAATTTTTTTAAAAAGTCGTTTGATTTCGAATTTGACACTTTTAGCTTGCGTTTTAATGACTTCTATTCAATTTTCTCGTTTCCAAAATTATTCTATAAGAAAAGAATTTTGTTTCAATCGCAAGTCGGGAAACTGAAAAGGATGAAACGAAATGTTTTTTTAATCTTAACACCTACTTCTGTTTTCCTTAAATGTGGCTGTTCTGTGTATGTGAATCGGAAAATTTCAGTCGATCATATTAGCTAACTAAAATCAAAACAAAACCGAAAAGGAGAAATGGCTACCTTTATCATCATGAGAACTCTATCAACGCACATCAACCGAATTTTAAAGAAGATTTTTAACTGATCATGTAATTATTTCTATGATTTATTATTTGTAATCAGTTGTATTCGTTGTTGTCTAACATTCGAAAAAAAACTAATCGCACATAATTTGTCTTGATATTTTCGTTTTACTACTTTTAAAGCAAAATTTCTTCAAAATTGGAACAAAAGGTATGAGTCGGTTGTGGGACGCTAGAACAGAACGTCGCATGGACAAAATGTCGCAACATAATTTCAAGTTAAACAGTCTAGTCTCATGTACTAGACAATGAAATCTTGACCAAATTATTCAAAAAGATGATTCTGAGCCTGTGGCAATAGATCTGAGGCGTGACTGAAGCTGTAGTCCTCATCATGAGTCTCTTCATATGCAATTAGATAGAAGTCAATACAAGTTTTCGTTAGAATTAGGGAGGGTATAACTATTGCCAGAATTACACATCTTCCTCCCTCCAAAATTAATTACCTACATGGACATTCACACTTACCGATACCCTCTATACATGCTCAGCAACACTCCATATTCATCCCCACCCACACCCAAATTTTCATAATAGAAGGCCATGCCTTTTTATTCTGGAGGGAGGGGGGAGGTAGCAGTTTGTTAATCCGAAAATACGTTGCGACGTTTTGTCCTGCGACGTTCTGTCTGGTCACCGGTTCTGGATACTTTCATTTCACGTCTCAATGAAAATTTTTTGACTTCCCACTGTTAACATCATCAAATCACAAAATGACAAGTTTATATGTCAACGTCGAGATATTAGAAGAAAAAGAAACTCGCTAAGGACCACATGAATGCGGTGCTTTGTACCGCATTGACGACGACAAGCAATGCTTACTTAAACCAGAAAAAAAGTAAACTCACCAAGGAGCACATAAATATAATGCTTCGCACTGTATTAAAAAGGTTGGTTACAATTGAGAAAAAGTACAAATGTATACATTCATTTTCTGAATAAATTGTTTTCATGTCATCAGTTTGAACTATCAAACTCGTAAATTAATATGCATGAAGAGCAGACAGTAAATATAAACTTAAAAAAGGCAATGAACTAAAAAGTGACGGCAAAGGATCTGAAATAATAATAAAAAACTCCATTTTTTATGTTAGTCAAGGATTGCAAAATTCATCTGAAAATATATTCGATTAGACAATATATCTAAAAGCGATTATCAGTTGCAAAAAACTAGCTTTTAATTCTAAATAAATAAATGAATGCTCACTTAGTTGAATTCGATTCGATTGAGATTTCTAAATCGCCCAATTGCATTTATGTTATAGTAGCAACACCCTTACGAAGAAAATTCGGTTTTCAGCTGTAAATTTAACTGGGTACAATGAAAAAGCTTGTTAGCGCAGCTCCTTTGAAGCTAAAATGTGGAACTCACATATATCCTTGGGCGGGGTGTGGGTGTGAGTGGGTGGAAACTAGAATCACATCTACACCTACACCCCCATTTGAGGACGAGGTTTCTTACATTGAGCTGGACAAGTCAGGTCTGTCAAGCTCTAGTCAGATAGACTAGCAAAAAACTTAAAGTTTGCAAATAAATTATTTTAAAAACTGAGAGGGTTTGGAATGTGGCTGGGTGTTAGTGTTGGTGTCAGTATGAATCAAATACCCACACTCGCAAAAGAACAGAAATCGTATCTTCAATAATAGATTATTCTTATAAATGCTTTTTTCTTTATTTTAAGAAAAATCTTTTCAAAAAATCCATTCAACGAAAAGTAATATCTATTTCAAAATATAACCTTTCTATAAAATCTACTAAGTTATTTGAACAGTTCAGAAATAAAAAAAAAGAAAGCTCATACTCTTCGTAATAGAAAGCTAAATTAAAATTAAAACAAAGAAATATTCTTCAACTAACAGTAAAATCATTTTTTATTTTCAGCCTTTGTTTTATCTTCATTTTTTGTTGATGCTGATCGTTCATCTTTCCAAACGTAAGTACCTCGAAAAATATAACCATGTTTAACTGCTGCATCAAATGCTTCAGGTATTCCATAACTACCAAATTTATATGGAATAATTGGTATTTTTTTCTTATCAATCTCAGCAAGTATTGGATCAACAATACGCCATGCTTCTTGTAATTCATCTGAACGTACAAAATTTATTTTTGAACCCATAAATACATCAAGAATTAAACGTTCATATGCATCAGGTAATTTAATCCCTTGATAACGCTCACCATATGTTAAATCTAATTCCGTTTCTTCAATACTAAAACTCATTTCACCGGGTCGTTTTGTATTTATTTTAAGATAAATGGCTTCATTTGGTTGAATACGTATAACAAGTTCATCACGAGCTACACTACCAGATAGATCATTGGGATGAATATCTTCATCAAACATTCCACCGGGTGCATCATGAAATTGAATACGTACTTCAGTTTTTTTCTGATTTAATGCTTTACCTTGGGAAAAATTAAAAATGAGCATTCAAATAAATTTAAATAATTTCCGATTATTAATAAAAACAAAATTAACCTGCACGAAGAATAAATGGTATACCAGCCCAACGCTCATTATTAATCGAGAGAATAACTTGTGCATATGTTGGTGTTGTTGAATTTTGTGGTACGCCTTTGTCATCTAAATAACCTAGTTGATGTTCAGGATCTGTTGAATGTTTATCACCAAAATATTGTCCAATGATAACATTTTCAGTTTTTATTGGTAATACAGAACGTAATACTTTTACTTTTTCATCACGAATATCTTCACCTTTTGTTGAATGTGGTTTTTCCATGGCAACAATTGATAAAATTTGCATTAAGTGATTTTGTATTACATCTCTTTACATAAAATAAAAATGAATTCTACATAAATTTTCCGGTTCCTATCGAAAAACCTCTTAGTTCACACAAACAATTTTATATGTTACCCCTATTCATCATGGCAATAGTTAATATATGTTTGACGAATCAAATCTGTATTTCGAATAGCCTTTTCTCGAAGATAGCAGTTTTTCAAGGCTTTAATTACAACTCTAATTACTTTTCAATAAATATTAAATTATTTCAATCAGCTATTTTTATCATAATACTTGTAGAAATACAATTAACACATGTATATTGAATAGATTTTGATTTTAATAGAAAACTTTATTCGAACGATATATGATGTAAAATTATTGCCCAAAAAGTATAACAAGGTATCATAGTTCTTATATTTGTAGGATCAAATATTAGTCCACTGAGTTGTGCTCATGAGGCAAAATTGAATGTGTTCGTAAAACATGGTTTGAGTGCGTTATAAAATAGTATTGCAAAAGTTTGTTAGCAGAGCCTCTTTCGATCTGAAATGTAGAACTCACACACACTACATAAGTTAGAATACTCAACAGAAATTAACACTAGTTATATGGATTTCACAAAACCGGATAAAGGATGTGACTACGGCAGTTTTACGCATATGCTCGTTCTAAATCAGCAGACTCGACTCAGAATTATCAGTCCTATTTTCACTTTCAGCAAAATCCAGGTAAGACATCCTTCGAAGAACACTCCAATGAACTATTACAAGTCTCATTACCGCAACGTCACTTTGCAGTAATAAAATTATTTTGAAAAGCCTTAAAGAAGCATGCTAGAAACTGTTGGTCACGAAATCCTCTTCTTTCTTATTCATTCTCTTACATTTTAATATAAACTGCACGAAATGTATGAAAACATTGATGAATGTTAGACGCAAATCAACTTGAAAAAACGCAGTTTATCAAGTAGATATCGCGTTGCAATAAAACACGGTTATACGAAAAACTTCCCACAAAATGAATGATGGCAGCTAAGCGTGACATGACAGATGTCTTGACTTGCATAAAGAAGTTCATAAAAAATTTCAAACATGTTTCGAACTATGCCTCTTCGCCATACGGATCTAGCCAAAAGTAAATGCCACTTATGAGAAAAACATGTATCTCAAAATTTTCATATCTTGGAGAGACTTAGTTCGGAAATTTTGAAGTTTTTTATGCAAGACAATCTAATATGTCCTTTTTTACCTAACAAGTCTGAATCTAACTAGAACCAATACTTGAGAATATTTCCTGTCAGGACATTTTCATCTTGAGTTTCTTATGAATAAATGTGAAAATGAGTGACAGATACATTCTATCTTTAATGGTGAAATTCATAACAAGACTTTGTTAAGATACTAAACGAAAAAGACGTTGAAGCCGTCAAAACTTCATTTGATTAAATCACAATACTATAACTAGCATACTCAGAACATAGGACGAAGCAGCATTGACGCCTAAGCTATTCTCAAAATTCTTATTTATTTATAGATAGGTTGACCAAGTCCTTCTATAAAAGAGAAAGCATCGAACAAGATTTTGCTTGACTCAATATTCTGTGTTCACTACTTATTCACTTTACTAAGGAGTGATTCCTGAATATTTTTGAAATAAATATCTTCATACCGAATGATTCCAAATTCGTCAAAATAACCTCCTCTTCCTTGTGTTCCAATATCTTCTTTAAAAATAATATTAACTGCTGCAATAGAATCTCTATTCCAAACTCTTGATAAAATTTGATTTACAAATCTAAGTACAATGATATTTTGTACCATTTCTTTTCCCAAATAATGATCAATACGATAAATTTCTTCTTCAGTAAAAAATTTAGTTAAATGTGAAGATAATTTATTTGAACTTTCAAAATCTTTACCAAATGGTTTTTCAACAATTAAACGTAACCAACCAGGTCTATAAATATAAACAATTAAAAACAAGCAAACTTATGTGTAAAAATTTCATCATACGATTTTGGTCGGCAATGTTTACTAATCAATTCAGTAACACTTTCATAAATACTTGGTGGTAATGCTAAATAAAAAATTCGATGTGCACTATCTTGGTTTGATAATTTATTAGCTTCAATATTTAAATTTTCGAAATCTTTTCCATTATCATATGAACCAACAACATAAGAATTTATTTGGACAAATTTTTCATATGTTTCACGTTCATCTTCCTGAATCTAATATATATGAATACTTTTGTTTCATCTAATTATGGAAAATTCATTTTTACTTTCATATATTTAGCTGCATTTTCAAAGATTTTTTCAATTGTTATTAAACTACGTGCATAGCCAATAAATCGAATGCGTTCTGGTAAAAGTCCATCACGATATAGCCACCTAAACATTTAAATCAAGCATAGTCTTAAACTTTTTTTTCTTCTTTTTACAAACCAAAGTGTTGGATAAATCTTCTTTTTAGCTAAATCACCCTATAAAAATAAAAATAAAAGAATTTGATTCTATCGAAATAAAAAAAACACATACAGATGCACCAAAGACGAAGAATATATGTGAAGTTGATGGTTCCACTGATTCCATACGACAAATTTCAGAACGTATGCGTTCATATATACAATTTAGTGTTGCTTTAACAGTAGAACTGACTGAATCTTGTTGATTTGCTTGTGTTTTGTTCATTAAAATAGAATTATAATCTTTGTTAACAACCTTAAAAGATAGAAATAATAGAAAGTAACTTTCAAAAATGGTGCATGTAGTCGACAAGATATTTTAAGGAAACCAAGATAAACACTTGATATGTTTTTTTTTCCATTATACTAGCCAATCTAACACTTGGAAGTACTTATATGGTTGAAAAAAATGGATAGATTTAATCCAGAACCTACATGATTAATGCAGAGCATTTCATAATATGTCGTCAATATTAGTCCATGAGGTAGTGACTCAAGCTTGTTAGATATATTAGAGAGTAAAAAAAAAGAATAAACACAAAGTACCATGAAAAATAAAAAAGGAAAGTGGTTGAAAAACAGCAGCGAAGAAATAGAAGTAATAAAAACTCAAAAAAAAACAGGAAGAAAGAGAAAAAAAAAGAAAAAAAAATGAAAATGACGCTTTATATGTGCGCTTGTCTCGGTAATATTAAAGCGCTTCAACAAACAACATCTACTTGAAAAGAAACGATTCTTGTCGTTCCATCAAATGTCATACATAGCGTCTGTGACAAAAATTAATGAGAGTGTGCATGTAGAATGTGGGTGAATGTAGGGTATGACTGTGTTGGTATGGATGTGCGTGTGAAAGTGGGGTTGGGTGCAGGTGTGACCGGGGCTGTCATTATAAATAACAGAAATACCCACACCCTGCTTTGGTCCAGGAAGAGGCCGCTTGCTTATTTATCTGCTCTCAACGAATCTACATTAAAAAATAATCTGCAATAGGAAACGAATACCAAAAGAAGGTACCTATTCTATAGTATTTTGCGATTTCTTTCGGTTCATTTAAATGAGAAGATGTTCATCTTTTTTTGTATCAGATTATTATCTCTATTCCAGATAAATCACGTGAAAAACACTATGAAATTCTTTGAAATAACACTGAGAGAACTTACTCTCGGATCTCTAGTCATTTTCAGCTTGATGTTCGTATTGTTTTTCTCGCTGTTCGAATTTGTCATTTCTAGTCATTGACTCAGACATATTCATAGAGCGATTATCTCGGACTATTTGTAGTCATCATTTCAATTGATTTTATCAAAAATGACACCATTCGAATCTCAAAAGTCTTTTTTTTGGCTCTTCATCATTTTCACATTCAATTTTGACGTTATTTCTTACATCATTGTTTGTGAAATTGTCGATCACCCCATCTAATATGATACCATAAGATTTTCTATGAAATTTGTAGTAAATTGAATGACACATCTAACTGATAAAGAAGTAGTATCATACTACTATCGATTGCAATGAACATAATATAAAAAAAATACCGAATGATTCGTTTTTTTTTACGTGCCCCCTATTTATAGCTGTTTTTACAGACCACATTTTAGTCCTGTTTGCAGATGTATTACCTACTAAAAGGCAAGGCATGATAGAACTTTTTAGCACATATATTTAGAAACAGCTTTCGACGATGATTCTCTACAAGTACTTACGAGTTTATCTATACATGTTTTGTCAATGAAAAATGGACCGACTTCTGTGCAGGAACTTTTGCATTACCCGTTATATTCATTTCAAAAGACAATCATGATATTAATTATGTTTCAGCCGTTAATTCAGATACTTAAAATCTCAAATACTTGTCACTTTCATAGATCGATATGCGAGATACTGGGGTATAAGACAACTAGAATTGAAATTTTCTAAAAACATGAGTGGATATATATTGATAATATAATGGCTTCTCTGACGAGTTATATATACTTGCATTCATAGTAAGATTTGTTGATCGATAAGAAAGAAGACGATGGCATTCATTGAATTATGAAGATCAACATGGAAATTTTACATTGTGATACCTTCTATAGTTGTCTACTTAGTTGGCATTGTCGTTTTATCCAAAAGTATTAGGTAAATATTTAAACGCTAGATATTAATGAGATTTTCAAAGGTTAGTCAGGCTTACCTATGCACTAATACATAGCAGTGGGTTCTCTCTGAATACTTACGAAATACGTATTTTCAATATTCATTCGGCTGTAACTATATTTAAATTTCATGAGTTTTTGAAGTCAAATTACTCTCAATCATATATACTGATATATATATATATATATGTAATATCATTTTCAACACGATGTTGTGAAACACTTTAGACTGCATCAAGTAAGATACAATCGTAGTTTTTTGGATCTGTTTTATGATACACTATCTGATCAGAAAGATGTGAATTTTGTTCTTTTTTTCAAAACGATACCCACACCCACCCACTTTAGAACTGTGAATTGAAACCGACGCAATTTTTTAATTTACATGGTTCGTTGACAATGCTCGATAATCAAGAAAAAATGATTTCACTGGAGAAAGGATCTCGGAAGAACTTGTTAGGAATATAATTTTATTCTATACCAAGTATAACATCTAATCAATTAACCGTACTATCACCTGTTTATAATTAGACACATAAGAAATTTTGTTGCAACCTCTTTACTACCCAGAACGAGCATTACAGCGACCAGAAACGGCCGTATACGATCGTATCCGACCGCCGTAATGCTGGAGCTGGGTGAAAGATCTT